AATATAAAATATTCTTAATAAGTAAAGCACATTTATATATAGGCCCTATTCATACAACAAATGATACGTGTTCAGATTAAAATGTCATATTAATCATTTATCAAATAACCACTATTTTAAAAATCAACTTATTATATTATTTTTTCCATATGTAGCTTCAGCACAACAATCACTACATTAATTTAAATCACACTATTATTTTTTTTACTTACCAGTAATTTCATTATGCTTATCTTTAAGTATGTTTTCAACCCTTGCCACATCTTCTCTAGTCTCCATAGGAAATGCAAACTCGTCAGTTGAGACAATATTGTCATCAGGACTTCTGTTCTGTTTCAATCTTTGCTCTAACCTTGTAAGAACAATAATGTTATTCTTCAGCATAGCTTTTATCTGCAGGAGGGTGGTGAAGATGAAACGATCTCTGAAAACCATAATACGAATAATTCATCAGTAAAGAAATCAGATTGGAATTAATGAAAATACGTTAAAATGACTACCAAAATGCGCCATGTGCACTTCCTTATGTCTAGTCTTAATTTAATTATTTGCCTTTTTAAAAACATGAAAAATCTTAACATTACAAATATGCATATATATATGCCAGATATTGGTGGTCAACTTGAATGTAAACTGTATTATCTCTAGACATATTTGGTCAGTTATAAACGACCAATATTTCCATACATTGTCTTATTCATCACCTTTCTACATGATCCGTAGGAAATTAATGGCTACTTCACCATCTTTATAATTTTCAGTTAACCTGAATAAAAAAATACTGTTAGTAGTAGTTTATCTCAGCGAGGGTTTTATTTATTTATTTATTTTAACAAATTTAAGCGAGTCTCTTGAGAATTTAAACGAGCCGCCTCGCTGCTGTGAATACAGAGGAGACCGTGATGTGCAAATGTTTTGAAATAAATACTATTTCAAGAGAAGATCCCTGGCTTCATATATATATATATATATATATATATATATATATATATATATATATATATATATGTTAAAATGTCAAAAAGCTCGCAGTCTTCAAACTAAATAAATTATTATCACTTAACAATGTCTCACAATTTAGCGACTTCGGGAAATACCTACAATGTGCATCGGAGCTAAGATTAGCGTCAGTATAATGAATTATTGTTATTATTATTTATTATTTATATCAGTAGTAGTTTTTGTTGTAGTGGTAGTTCATTGATATGACTTTATATTGTTACTGTATTCCATTCTGATGAGCCGTTGGGGTCAAGGGTTTAATAAATTGAAATACGAAATAAAGGTGGCGATCACAACTACCAAATTGAGTGAGCAATTAGTCGCATCTGTCTCGTTGGAGTGCAGCGCAGTTTTCAAGTCATTACATATGTCAGACGTTTTGCCGATATTTTAATAATAATATTCAGCTAGGCAGGACCACATTACCCTAGGTTCTAGATTCCTGTATTGCCAGCTCGATCTTGATTTCATATATAACCCATAGTAGCAATACTAGGTAGGCCTACTAGTAAAAGCGACTCCACCACAAGGTAGGCCTATATTTAGCAAGCTAGCTTTTACGTTGCTCTGACACTCAGGGTAGACCACATAAGAAAAAGGGCCAATGTTCACTGGTTATATTCCAAGGTTTATTTTAAGATGCAAACTTTACTTTTTCCAATTGTTATCAATATAATTCATAAATCTATTATGGGTTTTTTCCATTTTAATTGTTATTAAATTGTTATTAAAATGAAATTTACGTAAATAAAAGCCACAGAAAAACCCTTCATAACACATTGATTAACTACATTTTTATTTTTTAAAAATATATACACTTTGAAAATGTATACCTTTTAATTGACTCGATCTTTTCAAGAGGCAAAAAATACCAAACTTTCAAATACAAAAGACGAATCTTATAATCAATTTTTTTCATACCTATATCTTATAGGGCTATATAGTAGGCCTAGGTGGAGCTTTCGCGTTTTGTTTCTTCCACTCAATAACAATGTTCTAATTTCCAGAATTTATTTTTTAAAAAGCTGTTTTATAAATCAACATTTTTCCTACATGTAGGCCTACATTGAAAAGATCTGTCAATCAGTGTATTTAAATATTATTAGG